AAAGAGTGGAATATAGACTTTCCTATATTATAATGATAGTGGATGCTATCATCAAACATTTTATTATACCTATTTATTTATTATTTTTTAAAAGGTAACCTCCATCTTTCTGTACTCATTTTTAGGTTGCCTTGGAGAAAGTTTTTAACTTTGCTGTTTCGAATATATTTGAGACAAGAGTTGCTGGTCGAATGGTTGCCGATATGTGCCGAGCTGCGGTAAAAGTGAGAGAAAATGCTCTGACTTCCCTTGATCTTTAGCTTAAAAAAAGAGAAAAAAATACGGCTACTTTTTCGTACATAAGATCTTCAATTTTTTGTGTAAATACAAGTGGTTCTTAATATTATATCTTCTAAAATTGAATTGTCATATATAGCAATATTTCAAGAGGTTAATTCAGAAAGTATTTTCCTTGCATTTATGTTAAATTTAGGTTTTACTGAGTGTTTAAAAACAGTGAAGTCAGGCTGACTGTAGACTGAATTGGAGCTAAGATACAATCTAGTCTTCTCTTTTCAATAATGCTATTAGAAGATTTTTATCAATGTGTGCACTGAGTTCCATAAGGTGTCTCTTGTTAAAATGGGCTATTTATGATGCCGTTTCCAGTGCCGCCCCGAGGAGTCCTTGAAGTTGTTTGTACCACATTGCTGCAATGTTATAACTCATCTCACAGTCAGTAAGTCTAGAAGATTTCTAGCATTATTTGCTTTGTTTTGATTGGCTTTTGTTAAACACGAAATAATATTTAAAACTTCTATGTGTTTTCCACATCTTCATTTCAATATTGGAAAACTACTGCTCTCCATCATTGTACCCAAAAAACCAAACCAGCAACTGTTTATCCATAATTTCAAGACCAGGCTACAGGAGCACGCTTCTTTAAAAACGTGGCAGTTTAAACTGTTTCCAGACATTCCTCAGTTTCTCAAAGAGCATTTAAGATGTTAAATTGGCTAAAGTCACTTCCAGCTGGAGATGGGCGCAGTGTGAATTCAAAGGTTGCAATAGATGGGTTGGGAGTAGACTTCTGGGATGCAAGCAAGTGTCTGGTTTATCACGTAGCTTGTTTGGAAAACGTGGCTGCAGTATCATTACAGCAGTGCTTATCACTTGTTCCTCCAGATGAGGATGTATTACGTGATGAAGAACTCGATAAGGAGCTACTTTGGAATCTTCAGCTTTTGTCAGAGGTATTGCAGAGTGTCCTTCCCGTGCATGTTTATTATTGAATCCTGTTTGCCCCCAAAAGATGAAATTAAATTTCTTCTATCAGAATAAAGTGAATGTTGCACAAATGACACTGCATAACTTCTTTTTCTTTCTACCTTTAAATGGGACAGAAGTTGGTGCTGCTTGAAAAATACAGACCTACAGTGTCTATGTGGAATAAAATTAAGGCATTTAATACAATTAAATGAGGGATAGAGAAAGAAGAGGGATCAACTTAGGGAAAAGCGTAAGATACATTTGATAAAGATAAATCTTTCAGAATGAATTTCAAAATATATATGAGTATTGCTGGAAAATTGTCAACGGGGTCAAGAAGCAAGAGATAAATCTTTCAGAATGAATTTCAAAATATGTATGAGTATTGCTGGAAAATTGTCAACGGCGTCAAGAAGCAACGTGTATCACAGTTCATATATGTTGCTTAAACTTTTCTGCCAGCAGTAGGAGCAGAAGTTCACCTCCAAGTTCAGGCTTTCCTTCAAATTCAGTGTGACATACAGAGTGAAACTTGATGCAGGATTGTCTGAGCGGTGTTATCTTCTCTTTAGCCCTCTAAAGCAAAACCACTTATGTTTACCTTTGAAATGTTTGTCTTTCCCATTAGATCACTCGAGTGGATGGAAAGAAGTTGCTACCGTACAGGGAGCAGCTTGGGAAGATACTGCAGCGAACCCTACATTTAACCTGTAAGCAGGGTTACATTCTGTCTTGTAACCTACTGCACCACCTTCTTCGTTCTGCTACACTTATCTACCCCACAGAGTACTGCAGTGTGCCAGGTGGCTTTGACAAGCCTCTTTCTGAATACTTTCCTATCAAGGCAAGGATTTTCATTTATTTAGGATTAGAGGATTTGACTTTCTTTTTTAAAAGAAAACGTACACTATGTTACTTGTCTTTATTTGGAGATTTCTGAATGTAGGTAGTGACAATGGAAAGTCTAATTGAAAGATGCTTTGGGCTTTGAAATATATAGTGAATTAGAAGTTAATTAAAATTATATTTATAGCAAAACATGAAATCTGACTTGTTTTGAGTGGTTTTATAGCATGGCATTAGTGTTTTATGATGTGTGTTTTACAGTGATTGCATGACTTCAGTAAGATAGTACAAACCAAGAGCGCCTGCTCGTGTTTATTAATCTTTTAATGTATGTTGTATTTAATGGAGACCCAGCTATCGTAAAGTACAGTGGTATAAACAGTTAAGTTTGGAGTTCAGCACAAGAATTCTGCTGTTTGCTTTAACTTAAATATCCGGTCATAGGAAGCATTGTTGCACTGAGGCGAACTTGGTCTTTCATCTGCTTTTGTGGGTGAGAGCTGCAGCCTTTTCTTGTTCCTCTTTGTATAAATGTGGCTGTCAGCTAGAACAAGTAATGGGGAGTGCATGGAAAAACGAGTACCTCAGTGCAAAACAATTGCAAGAAAGGAGGCAGGAAATGGAAAGTGAGGACTGCAAAGGCCTGTCTGTTAATTAATATTGTCCTAAGCATGGACTTCACGTTTGAATATGAATTAGGAATAAATACTAACTTTTTTCCTTCCAAATACTCAAATAGTGTGAAGTCTGTAACCAGTCTGAGCTCTTTGTAAGCCAGAATGTAAAAGGTTGTCTTTGTTTATGGGATGACCTAGCATTGTATCAAAAATCCAACTTAAAATTTAGCTTTTTTCTTTACTTTTAAAATGAAAGTTACTAAGCTTCTTGATGGTGATTCAAAACTGAAGAGAAGTAATAATGCTCTAGCTTTTTTGTGTTCACTAGAGAAGTATCAAAAGTGTTGTTGTACTTGAGAAGATTTCTCAATTTTTATACAGCCAGAGGAATAGTAAAGTTATATTTTATATATAGGTCATACACTTCTTTTAATCCTTTCAGGTATATGTTGTTTTCAAGGGGCATGTAGACATTATGGAATGTTTGGGATTTGTATTTGGTTTTATTGTTTGTTGTTTTATTTTTTTACCCTGGAATTGTCAGGATAACTACAGCAGTAGCTAGTTCATGTGTTTGGGTTTTTTTAGTAGCATTAAATTTTATTATTTTTTAAATCAGTTTACTTCATAGTTTAATTGATGAGAAATGTCTTTATTTACTATAGGACTGGGGTAAACCAGGTGACTTGTGGAACTTGGACATCCAGTGGCATGTTCCTTCATCTGAGGAAATAAACTTTGCTTTTTATTTGCTGGATACTTTTCTTCAGCCTGAGCTCACTCGACTGGAGCACTATGCAGCTGGAAAACTAGAAATGTCCAGGTTAGTGGTGATACGTAATATGGAGAAGGTAAATTTATCCACTTGTGTCTGTTTTAAGTAGTTAATGTCAATCATAATGGCACCACAAAAATTAAGAAGTAAAATACTATAATGTTACACTGTCTTTGATATTATTCCAAGATTTTTAACCTTAAGAGTACGTGTAGCTTGGAAATGCATTTCAAAAAATGCATAGCATTATTTTGAACACAGATGTTCTTTAAAAAAAACCTGAAAACTTAAGACGCTTCCAGATTTTTTTAAATACATACCACAAGTTGTGTTTCCATTTCACTGCAGTTGGTAATAAAAAAAGCTCTTCCTCTAGACTCTTGTTATTTTGGCACAGCCACTTGTGTTCCTAAGCTGTGAAGGGGAACACAGAACTGATTAGGCTTGGAAATCTGCCTCTACTCTGCTTCCTTCCTACGAGTAAATGGATTCAGTACATAGCATGTCCCTGCAAAAAGTGGCAGTGCTGAGCCCAGGGAGGTAACGCTGAGTCAGTGGCGTAAGAGGTAGGAGTAGAGGCAACAATTCCGTTGCCCAGTCTTGTTAAAACTCTGTGTGAAACCGCGGCTTCGTAAGGACAGTTTCCTAAGCCCAAGATAATCCTGAGTTTAGTATGTGCTAAAGCATTTGCAAGGATCACATAGCTAAAGCTGTTGACAAGTATTGAGTCTCGAACATTCTTTATTTCTCATGTTGAACCTTCACGTCCTTGGAGCTATATGTACTTCAGCTGATGTTCGTAGCACATGATGTCATACCTCGTGCTGCAAAATGCAGCCCATTGTGCAACAGAGTGTGATGTGTCAGACTCCTGAATACTTTTCTGTCTCACCAAGTTGCCACATTTTTTTAATCTGAGAGAGATGATGTACGTGTGACAAATCAATGCCACCAAGCTGTGATCAGCAAATATATTTTCTGATCTAAAAATAGAAAGGATATGCTGCATATTTAAGTCTTTGGCTTGTTTATTTCATTGTTTTGGTTTGTTTTTTTCTTTGACACCTTGTAAAGCTGCTCTTCATTAACAGAAATAAATGGTGGCAATTTGGGAGAATGCAGCTAAGTGCATGAATTGTAAATTAAATTGAATGGCAAGATAGCAAAGCTGCAAGAGTAGAGAATACTGTTAGTTGCTGAGGAAGCAACAGGTGTGAATAAATGGAATACTAGATGAGACTATTGCTTTGAATTTTAGTATCCTTGGAGCTTGAGTTCTTGCCCATTTTCCCCTCAGTATTCCACTAAGTAATAATTGGAAATGAAACATTTTAGAAAAATCTAGGAGCTTCAGGGTAAGATTTTTCTATTACAAAACATTAAATGAAAAATTCTAACAGGCTTTGTTGAACACATGCATTTCGAGTGTTGATAAGTAATGCATGAGTACTAAGAGCTATTTAACCTCTTAAGAGGGTTGAAAGGAGTTATTTTACAAATCAAAGCAATTTACCACAAAGACAAAAACAAAAGGCAAAATTTCAAACTATGAACTAATGGCTACTACTTTAGAAGAGGTGGCTTTAAAAATAATTCCTCAGTTCTCTAAAGTAACAAAGAAAGAAGTTGTTCACATTATTCACAGCTTCAGAATATACAATCTCCAAGTTTTTCAGAAAACAAAGCTGAATGTTGGAGTTCTGTAACAGAATTATGTTGGAACAAAAATGCACAGCTTGATTTCTGTAGTGCTCCCTTTTGCATTTAGAACTGATGCAGGCAAAGAAAAAAGCTTTTATAAAACTTAACCAAAAAACAAATGGTTTGTCATTTGTATATTTCCAAGCATTTAACAGATAACTAACCAGGTTTTCTTCTTTATTTAAGAGATGATGTGCAGCAGTGTCTTGCTATAGTGCACAACTGCTTGATTGGTTCTGGGAACGTTCTGCCTCCTCTAAAAGGAGAAAGGGTAGCTCATCTGTAAGTAAAATCTATTTTTATATCACAATTTTTAGCAATTATATTGCTTCATATTGGGTTTTAGTGGTGTCTTATTGCTATTATCACAACTACTTCTAGAGGCCATCCTTAAGGAACACTCATACTAGTAATAAAGATACAGAAATTTGAAATAGAGACTTACAGAAACAATGTATGTATGCAAGAATGTCAAGTGCTTTTTTTGTGCAAGACTAAAAATGTTTTAAAAAGGTAGGTGATGGCACTGCGTAGCTGATGCTGCTTTATGTAAAGGAGATGGAAGCTAGGCATTTACTTACGTGTTTCCCTTCCTCTAAAAGAAGCGTTCAAACCGTCCTGCACTGACATCTTACCAATGTTCCTGTCACCCTGAATGAGTAAAGTCAAAAATACTCTGAACTTCTTGCCAGCTGTCTTCTTATATTAAAACAGGAAATGAGTCCTGTTTGAGTGCTCAAACCCCTGTGAGTAATGTCATAGCAGAACCTGGCTACTGGTGCCAGCACACAGGAGAACTCTAGCAAAACCACTTGAGTAAACTTTCATTTTGGAAGTAATAGAAACTTTCTGTTGCATTACAGTAGGTCAGGCTTTTTCAGTAGATGGGATTGCTGCTCTGACATTAGAGGTAATTGTGAGTTTGAACATTGGAGGCAAGTAGGAGTCTGATCTCTTTTCCTGTTGCTATGTATCTTGTTGAAAATGTGGAAGGTTTCAGCTAAGCTTATCACTGCAGTCTGTATTTAGCGACTCTAAAGTTGTTGCTGAGATTTTATTTTCCCCTCCCCCAAGTGCCAGCTACTAAAAGAGCACTGGCACAGTCTCAAGCGTATTCAGGTGCATAGATTCTGTGAGTTTCTTGTGCAGTGGAAGAGGCTCCTCTTGAGTGTATATTGGAGCATTTGTTAAGCTGGAGAGCTTTGTAGAGGTTACTTTGTACCACTGACTATGTAAGAAATTTGGGGAAATAATCTTGTAGTTAAAGAGGCAGTGCAGGGCGTTCAGACTGATTCTAAAAGACCCAGCACCTTTCAAGACACATTGGCTGTTCCTGTACCAGCAACGTGCTGCTCGTTCATATTGGGAAAATGTGGGAGCATCGCTTCTGGATTCAATTTGAGTCCTGCCCTGGCATCTGTTAAGCAGTGGACACGGGGTGCTTGCTACCTGTGTGGCTCACGGGTTCAGGGACAAGAGTTTCTGATGTTGGTCCTTCAAAGGAGAAGCACTTTTTCTTCTTGGATGCCTTGATCTTCAAAATACAAGGCTATCTTGGCCCAAAAAGCCTTTAGCACCACCACAAAAATAAAGGAAAAAAAATCTGTTGTAGCTATAGTAATCTGTTCATTAAGGAAGAAACAGCAGTGTAAGAGTAAGCAGCTTTGGACCCTTGTTCTAGATTCTATGATTGTCACTAACTGAAGTTGCAGTTGATTGGAGAGGGATCCTCACTGCATGGGCAGCGCAGAAGGCTGAATTGCAGCGTCCTGAGAACGTATGTGTAGAGACCTGTCTCTGGTTTGGTTGGGGGTGTTTAGAATCATCTTTGTTGTGTTGTTGGGCAAGATCTGTAAATTCTTAATGCATGGTTTAGGACATTAGTCTACAATAAACTTCTAAATTGCTTGTATGCTTCATTCTGTTACTTGTCTGTGCTGCTTTATTAAATATAGCCAACTTACATAAGAACATGCTGAGATCCATTTGTTACTAAAGAAATCAAAATCGGACTTCTTTCACATAATCTGAATTTTGGAACTCCATTCTACTAAATGCCTACAGAGCTTCAGAATCCACCATTTGTTCTGGACAGACTTTACACATGTTGATGAAACAACTTCTGCCCACTGTGAGCAGGTCTTATCTGCAAGCTTTATAGTTTCATTAAAGCTTTTTGAAAGCATAATTAAGGCAATTTATCTTTTCAGCAACTTTACACAGGACTCTGGCATTTCCTCGCCGAAGTTGAATTAATTTTAATTAAGCTTTAGTTCTTATTCTTTGTATTATTTGAATTATCAGAAGTGGAACACGGACTTTCAATGAAGGAGACAATCTGAGGGAAAAGTAGAGTGTGTTTGTGCGGAGTGGACTGTACTTTGGCCTACTGAAGTGGACTGAATACTTCAGTAGATACTGTTCTGCTTCATATCAAATAAATCAGTTTATTCAACTCACCACGAGCAGTTATTAAGGTCAGTATCAGTTTGGCATCTGAGAGGGTGAGGTTCAACCATCCAGGACCAATGGTGTTCCTTCTAGTGAGGCTTCTTCTGAAACATGTCTCCTGGTTTAATGGGTTATTGTATGTCACCAAGGGTTGCAGAAGGGAATTGTACCAAGAAGAAAAGATGTCTTCTTTGCTGCCTTACTTCCTCCTCTCCTTTCCCCAAGAAACAACTGGAATATTTGCAGTGAGGGAGGTGTATTTTGATTGAAGAAGCAAGTATTCCTGGGAATACTGTTTTCAGTTCCGTATGTGTGTAAAATTATATCCGATGTGGGAGGTGTTGTTTGATGAACTTGCTATTAAAACAGTGAAAAGATTTGGTTTTAATTGTTACTGTGTTGTGAGTTTCTGAGTTATTTTTTGGTAAAATAGCAGTTTGTGTTCCCAAGCCTGTTGCCGTTATATACAGTGGGAATGTACATAAAGCACTCAGATTGGAAACTGCAGGGCTTTTAGTGACATAACTCACCCTCATTTTAAGTGAGGTCACCCTGATTTTAAGTGCTCAGTATTCACAGTGAGTGGTGAATACCACTAGTGATGGTATTCACTGTCCTAAAGTGCAGGAATATTTTTGAATGCCAATATTGGTAAATGACTTGATAAATTTAAGTTCAAGAAACAAAATAAAATTCTACATTTATACACGTAAAACAAACTGGCACATGAGATTTCTTGTCAGATACCTCCTACGCTACCTGACTCCAACGAACCTAGCTGATCACACACCATGTAGTACCGTGCTGTTATTTGTGCTGACGGTAAAGTAGAGCTGAGTAGGTGTAACTGCTTTGTTTTGATGGTTGAGGATTCCTGGAAATTCTTGCCCAGAAAGACAAGAAACACAGAACAGTATTTGTTCTGTGCCTGTTTTGATTGTTAATTTAAGTGACTCAGTCATATCTGTGACTAGTACGAAGGAAGATGACTTGGCTGAGGGAGCAGTAGGATTTTTTTGCTTAAGTAACAGGGAAAGCTAATTATGAGAATTATATATTGACTGTATTCCACAGATGTCACAAGCTAGCCAAATGCTTGTTTCATTGTTGCTTGTCGTATTTGACCTGTGCATTAGATGTGAGATTTGAAGGGTTTTGGATAGGTGAATTTTAAATTGCAGTATTGCGTAAATGTGGTTAGTCTTCTAGAGGGCTGAGAATGTAACAAAAGTGTGAGGAGCACTGTTTTGGGAGAGGAAAATGAGTGAATCTGGATGGAAGTTCTAAGATTTTCTCCTTTAAAATAAATTGCAGACATGAATACCTGAACTGCTTCCCACTAACATGGTAGCTATTTACTGCTTGGTGCTTTGGTGTTGCTGTAATTCTGCTGAAGCTACTTCTACAGTAGGAATAGAGCTGTTGGAAATATAAGACCTCTCCACTAGCATGGAGACTACTACACTTTTTTGTAGTAGTACTTTGCACTGTTTGCCTGTAGTCACTGTATTACAATTCATCAACATCATTTTATGGAAATAGTGTTTAAAAGTCTGTTGCACTTTTCACTTACAGAAACTTTTCACCTTGAAAAGTTTTGCGGAAAGTTACCTGGTGTGTTTCTGTGGGCATTTACAGTTTTGGGGTTTTTTTGTTACTCAGTGTCAAACACCTGTATCCAGTAATTTCAAAATGTCTTTCTTCACGTCTACTTGTTAAGAATAGTCTGGTTTATATCTTGGCAGTTTATGTTTGTTTTATTTATTAGCCATTGAAAATAGATTTGCTTTTTCAGTATTTAATAACAAAGTTATTCTGTTTGTTTCTTTCTTTTTAAAAATAAATAAAATTCCCCAGCACAAGTCTGGTATGGTCTCCTTAGTCAGAATCAAATTGTGCCTGTATTTTTATGGGTAAAGGTTTCAGAACTTCTGTTTTATATACAGGTGTATAAAATGGCATGAGCCTTTACTGAATCTCTTGCCAGTCTAAGTTAATGTTTTCCTATAGAGTCATTAGTTTCTCTTACTCTTCTTTTGTTTTACTAAATCTTTTGATGACTTAGGTAGTCTCTGAACTGAAAAGTGATGAGCGCTTGCCTTGGGTGTGCTCTGAGCACCTGACCGTACACAGACACATGCTCGGCATACGCATCAGCATAGCTGGTGCGACCTGCTTGAAGAGTGAGTTCGTTGTTTAGTGAACGGGAGCGTAAATGGTTTCATAATGATGCAGCTCTCTTGGAGACCGAGCAGTTCTTTACGTTTAGTTCAGTAGGAATTAGAACTTTTATATATGTAGATGTTGTTGACCTATTTTTTTTTTTTGCCTGTAAGTAGCAAGGAATTTAAACTTCATCTGTCTTGGAGTATGAATGAATTCTCTTCTGAAGCACCATGCATAACAATAGAAAATCATTTCATGACTCAGTAGTGTGTATTTATATTATTATTCCACATGGTGTTCTTCATCTTTAATAGAGATGCCACTGATTTCAAGTGTGTTCTGTGCATTACTTTTTATTGCAAAACAGATAGTTACAAGGGGAAGGTAAAACAAGAGCAGAGGTGAGAAGCAATCCTTATGACAGCAGTAGCTTTCTGTGGCTGAATTAAGGTGTTCAAAGCCATAGAGTTAGAGTTGTGGTGAATTATCCTGACATAGCTGGGGAAAAGCAAATACACGGGTTTTTCTGCGCCTGCATAAACACAATGTAATGATTGCTCTGTCCCACGAGATGTGTGCGGGTATAGTATAAGTAATACTTCTGGGCACACAGCCTACCCTTTTCCTTCAGGGGCTGCTGCAATTGTAAATCATATCAATGTCCTTGTGCTATAATGACTTTCAGTGGTGTGCAAATAAAGATTATTTCCAATTCAGACAGTATTAAGCTGTCTAAGGTTAAATCTTTCACTGATGTTCAGTTCAGTTCCCCTTGACTTCCCTTCTTTGCAGCCTACTTATTAATGAGGTAACACTGAAGCTGTTGATTTAGGGAAGCAAAACCAGGATTTCTCAGAGAACATCCATTTTCTGTCTCCCTCTCAAGTACAGCCTGGTTAGTTAGGATGTGGTGCTGCTCAGCTCTTGCTACAGACCTTGGTAGGAGCTTTCCTAATGTCCTTTCACTGAAGGTCAAGGATAAGACCACTTCTTTTAAATGTATAAGGATGTGATACCGTATGCTGAGGGGCAGGGCTAGCTAACCTCTCTTGGCATCTCCAGGAAACTTCCCAGCTCTGCTGGGGGAGCTGCACACAGGAAAGGAAACAGTTACTCCTCCACGGTGAGTAACCCTGTTTTCTCCTTGTTCACCTTCCGACTGTTGTCTCTTATTCTCTGGTGTCAAAGTAGGCCGATGCAGCCCTTGATCTAGTCCTTAATGTGGCCTGGGGTGCTCTTCTTTATTTTTTTTTTTCCCCTCCCAATTAGAAAAATTTTCTCTGCAGTTGCTACACTGGAGTGATGCTAAAAGTTTTTTTGTTTCTGGAAAGCTGTATCAGATTGCTGAACTATACTTTTATACTGAGGAATATGTACACAGAGCTCTGTAAAATGTCTGGAAGTTGAAAATCACAGTGCATCGTTTTTTCTCAAAGACGTAGTTTTTGTACTGTTGGAAATAAGGGAATGAACTCCTCGAAGTTCTGTTTGATTGTGATTTCTGTTCCAGCTCTGATTTTTGCTTGTAAGTTTTCACGGCAATTTGCACTGGAAACTGTTGATACAGAATGAAGCACAGTGTTGCTTATACATTGCATGAAGCGTTGTCCTGCAAGTCTTGCTATCAGTATTGCCTGGAAGTAAAAAACCCTTTTATTTCTCTTCCTTTTGTGTGGCCGAAGTAAAACATAGTTCTCTCTGGCTGAGTGGCTGACACTTAAAATGCTGAATATTACTAGCATGGGTCTTAGTCTGTAGGCCTGCTAGAAAACGTCACTGCATTTTGAATATAATGTTTTCACCCTGTCAGTAGCCTTGTTGAAATAAATGGTTCTGCCTGGAGAGCAATGTCATGGTGTAAGGACTATACCAGGCTAGTTCTTGGTTACTGGATGCTACATGTTGAGTTGTTACTCCTGGTTTGCTCAGGAATGTGGAGAGCTTGGAGTGTTGGTTTTCCTTTGTTTTAAGTACTGGAGAATTGATGTAGAACTTGGCTGGCTGGCCAAGAACAGTTGAATGTGTTTTGCTGGGAGTGGGCAAGAAGCACAAAAATTTGGAATCTCTCCAGATTACCTGAGGGAAAACTAGGAAATCACCCTTTAAATTTTCCTTGCCTCATAGGTAGGGAAATCTTACGTGAACTTGATTTGTGTGTTTATAGAATCATAGAATGGCCTAGGCTGGAAGGGACCTTAGAGATCATCTAGTCCAACCTCTTTGTTTTGGACAGGGACGCCACCTCTCGACTAGACCAGGGGAAACTGTTTAAGTGGAAAAATACTGTAGAAAAAATTACTGCTCTGAGCTAATTTTTCTATCAATGTATCCAGCATACTGTACACCCTCCAAAAAGTAATTGCTTAGTGTCTAACTGCCTGAGATTCATTACTTTCTTTTTTTAAGAAGCGTTAGTATTTGGGATGGGAAGATTCACTCTTCTTCTTCCCAGATGTTAATTGCAGAAACATCCCCTTTTTTTTTCATCTTCGCAACTGGAAAGATCTGATCTTGGAGAAGTAAATAGCAAACACTTTCAAAGTCAATCGTGTAGATGATTCTAAAAGAGCAAGTGTATGAGACCATAAAAACTTATTTATTCGGGACAAAGGTATTGGATTGATGTTGGATATTTTGGAAATTGTATTAGTGGCCAAGTTGTACCTTAAAGCCCCGGTGCCAGTGCTGAAGTTTTTTTGGGGAAAAAAATGTGGGAAGACTTTTGAAATTACTTCTTTTCGTGTTAACCTGGGGCTACCAGAAATACAATGAGGAAAATGAAATTACAACTTTGCTTCTTGATGTCTAAATCAATTAAGAAAAAGGTGTTTCATTTTGACTTCTGTTGGTGCTGATGTGACTGCTAGCAAGTCAGTTTATCTGGTTCTTGGTTCAAGTTTTTTTCCTTCGTCTCCTCAGCACAATAATTGTAGCACTCATGTTGGAATGTGTTCACTTTTACAGGAGAAACATGGTGCTCTTTTCTGGTCTTACAGATACAAGTTTGTCGTCAACTGAAATCTGAAAGTTCGTTTTTGTATCTCGTGGTGCGTGCTCAACTACAGAATCTGTAGTGTTTTCCGATGTGTTATTTAGCATTTGTAACAGCAGTAGATTCGCTTTGTTTCACTTAGCTTTCTTCCGATTATACTGTCAATGCAATTTTATGTGAAAATTATTTTTATAAGGATTACTTGCTGCTACCATTTGTTTAATAAAATACACTGGTGTATTTTGTCCTTGAAAGCTTAAATGTTTTAGGGGGTGAGATTGTAGGTTTAAGAAAAATCAACCAAAACAATCCCCCCAAAATAGGCAAATGTACGTAAGATACATTCTTCTGTCTCTGAAACTCATTGGCTTGTGGTATGTGAGACTGTATTTTTTTTGTGTGGTAGTATAAAAGCAAATCTGCAAGGATTAAGAATTCACTTTAACAAAATATTTTGTATAGGTAAGTTTGACCCAAGTCCTGGAAGAAAGATGGCTTTATTTTTCGCTATGGTTATTAAAAGTGAACTTCATATAGCAGTAGGTAGGCCTTCCGTTGATAATGGGTATGTTTCTTTATAGAAAAAGGAATAAAGACAGAAATGTTCTTCCTAGACTAAGATGAGTAGGAGCCGTGCTTGTTTTGATGAGTGTGGTCATAGGTTTGACAGTGAGAGCAAATCTGCTGTTTAACCAAACTGATGAGGTTCTGTTAAAGGAGAAATCATGATTCTGGGCGCAAGGTGTTGTCCTTGTCTCTTACAAACAGATTGATCTATAAACGTTATCAGGGAGGCATACTGTTGGTGAATCCAAACATCTTTGACACTACTGGCATGAAACTTAACTTGTTAAAGTTGATGAAATGTCAGTAAAATTTGCACGGTCAATAATTTCTGTAATGTGTAGTAAACTTTGGTTTATTTTCACACAGGGTCCCCAGTCTGGTGTCTTTAGAAGAGACCAAGCTGTACACCGGTGTTGAATATGGTAAGTGGGCCTAGTTCTCTTCAGACACGTTGTTGTTTTCATTAATTTTTTTTTTTCTTCTGTAAAAACAGTAGACTGTAATTTTGATTCTTCTCTTTATATTAAATGAGCTTTTTTGGCCAACACAGAAGTTCTTGTGTACACCCCATTTCATTTTGGTGGCGACACACAAGATGCAGATCCGCTGCAGCGATGTGGCTGGCTGTGGGAGCTCAGGGCCAGCCCAGGTCGGAATGGTTGGGGTCTTGTCCTTGCACACAGACAAGGGGGACAGGCAGCCACAGCCATCTCCCTTCCCAAGGAGACTCTTTGCACCACTGGGGCTTCTTTCTTCTGCCGTTTGTTGTTGCTTAGATTGGGAATGTCTGTTGCCCTCTGTATATTGAAGGCAAGTAAGTCCCCAGCCTTTTACTGGCTTGATCGCCCAATACAGCAAATCTGTTGACTTTCTTTTTTAACCTGCTTAGTATGTTGCTCGGTTTTCACATGCTAAATAATCTGCTTCTATCTGTGGTTAGAAATTAAGCCAACTGTCAAGGCAGATGACGATGGTTATGCACCGATAAAAAACATAACCATTGACTCCATAAACAACAGAAGGCCCTAGGAGAGTGGTGTCCTTAGATACCACAAGATGGTTATTTTCATGAGTCTGTGCTGGATTTCTGAATAGTCTGCTCTGGTTTTCCACTGGTTTGCTTATCTGTAAATTGCTTTTTTGCTATTGTGTAGTAAAGGGAAAATGTTTAATTTTTTTGTAGATTTATCCAGAGAGAATTATCGGGAAACAATCGCAAGGGTTACAAGGAAATTGCTGCGTAAGTTTAACCACTCCTTTATCTAAAAGCTGCTGTGTTGTGGGTTTGAGTATGATGCTATAGATGAGAAAATTGTTCTGTTTACTTTGACTATAACGCTTAAATTGAAGCTTTGTAGAAATAAAACTATTGTTAATTTTAAAAGCTCTTTTCCTGTCTGATAACAAATTATTTTTCTTCTTATTGCAGACTATATACTTGATAACTCAGAAGATGATACCAAGTCTTTATTTCTAATAATAAAGGTATGCTTATAGTTTTGTAATACTTAAGACAAGATTATTTGTTTTGCAAAGTACTTACTCTGTTGTCTTTTTCTTTCTACAGATTATTAGTGATGTTTTGCAGTTCCAAGGATCTCACAAGCATGAGTTTGATTCACGATGGAAAAGCTTTAATCTAGTGAAAAAATCAATGGAGAACAGGGTCAGTGATTTTCTTCTTTGTAAAGCTTAGGAACTATTTCCATCCCTCACCTAATGTTCATAAAGATGTTTTTTATGTTTTTGTTACTTTCCTAATGTTATCATAAGTTTTAAATCTAATTCCTTGATAAGAATATTGTTTTGCGGTGTTTTTGTAGCTTTTATTTGGAAGTCTTACCTGGAAGTAGCTTAGCACTTCTGAATTGTAGTAACCCTCAGTTTGCAGAAAGCCTTGGATTTGACTTGATGCTCCCTTCTGAGAAATTTCTGGGACCAGAGTTCCCTTTTGCTTAGAGGGGAACAAGAAACTATGAAACTGTTCCAGGGCAAAAAAAATAAAGCTGTCTGCCAAGAAGAACTTCTACATGAATTTCTACATGAACTTCTACATGAATTTACCTGTTTCTAGAAGAATACCTGAGTTCAGTCAGTACACATTGCTGACATGAATACAGCTTTCTAAACTCAGATTATGTGTTTGTTTACAGCTTCAAGGAAAAAAACAACATATCAGAGCTTTGCTGATAGACAGAGTTATGTTGCAGCATGAGGTAATACTTTCACTTCACTAACTACTATTTGGAAAGCTGATTTGTTGTGTTCTCACTGAGCACTAATGTTTTTCTTACATGTGTGGAATGTAAAGACAATGTGTCCTTTATTTGTATTTTCTGTGCAATTTAGCTGAGAACACTAACAATGGAAGGTTGTGAATACAAAACTTCCCACCAGGAAATGATCAGAGATCTTTTGTGTTTGTCCACAAGTTCATATGGTCAGGTAAGGAACAGTCACTTTTAAACTGAAATACATGGATGTGTTCATTGATCTTACAAATTATATTTTCAGGATCTTAATTTTTCTATTTATTTCCATGGCAACATGAAATATTTACTTATTTAATTTGCACTAGTTGCTGGTTTTGGCATAGTTTTTGCTTTATTTGACAAAGAAGGGGCTTAAAGAACTTAACTGGGTGGAGAGGCTGCCAACTTAGGTTGTAGATTTTAATTTGTTTGAGGGACTTAACTCTAGACTTCTACAAACAATAATGCAATTAAAAAATTTAATGAAAATATATCAGGTTGAGGTTTTTAAATGTGATTGTATGATTGGTTACACAACACAAATTATTTTGTTTCTGTGCACAAATGTGTCATTTATACTCTCTGCATAAGTAACAGAAATGGGTAAGGTTGTTATTTTGTATAGTATATTTTTTGTTCAGAAGACTTATTAATGTCTCTCTTCCCACAGGTCAGAAGCAAAGCTCAGCAAGCATTCTTCACAGCTCTGGGAACGTACAATTTTTGTTGCAGAGATATCATTCCCTTGGTTTTGGAATTTTTGCGTCCAGACCGGCAAGATGTCACTCAAAAGCAATTTAAAGTACTATCTCGTTAATTTGTTTCATGTCTGGCTTTTGAAAGTGGTTTTTACAGGAGAATTTTTAATGGTGAAAGTGGGAGTTGCTTGTTTATCAGCATGATTCTGATTCATGGCTCATAGCTTATGCGTGACTAGCATAAGGAATTACTTGGGTTAGATCAGTCGTCAAGAGAAATTTTGTGTTTATATGTGTTTCTCATTTCATTATATGTTGGGATATTACAAAAATTAATAGCTATTTTGAAATTATGAAATGGAAATTAAGAAGCTGCAGGCCAAGGTGCTTAAAACTCGTTAAGCAGTTCTGTCAGCTGTAGTAGGCTAAGAAAATAGCGTGAACTGGTCAAAAAGTTACATTAAATGAACTAGGTTTTGTTATCAAGCACCATCTATCCGTCCAGGCATTTGAAAGCATCATGCTGCCCTCCTTCCTCTGCACACCCGGCTGCAGAAGCAATTTGCACTCCTGTCCTACAGTCAGAAGAGCAGCTGTGGCTTCTTATCCTGCTCTAGGTGCCTGACATCACTTATACCTGAAAAATGCTTTAACCTTCTAAAATTACATCTTTCATTTTCCAGGGTGCCTTATATTGTCTTCTCGGAAATCACAGTGGAGTGTGCTTGGCAAATCTTCACGACTGGGATTGCATTGCGCAGACGTGGCCAGCCATTGTTTCTTCTGGGCTTAGCAAAGCAATGTCCTTGGAAAAACCATCCATCGTTAGACTCTTTGACGACCTAGCAGAAAAAATCCACAGGCAGTATGAAACGATTGGATTGGATTTTGCAGTAAGTGACAGATTGCTTGGTGTTAATGTCTCAGATTCTGAGAGTGTTTGTCATAGATTAGGGCTGAGCCAGCCACTAAATGGAGACAGACACTCGCTAACCCTCTCTTCCTCCCCACCCTAAACGGGAAGGAAAAGGGAATGAGGCAGAGAGACTTACGGATTAGAGAAGAAAAACTAGAATAGCTTTAATGAAATAATGGAAATAATAGTGAAATGATAAAAATAAAGAAACTATATACAACTATATATAAGCCCGATATTGAAAGCTGACTCCCTCCCCTGATATCAATCCCCACTGGTGCTGCAGAGCAGGAGGCACTGGGGAAGCCCCAGGCTCAGCAGCTGTGGGACCTGGATACAAGGAGCTGGATTTGGAAACTCAGGATCCAGAACAAAAGCAAGAGATCCCACAGAGTCCCCCCTGACCACCAGCCATTGCAGAAAAGGGAAAAGATGGAAAAAGTGACAAAAGGGCTGGAACTCTCGTGATCACTTAGTTTTTACTAAATATGACATATATGGAATGGAATGCTCTCGTTGGTCACCTGTCCTGTCTATTACCTCCCAGAGGTGCAACCTTTTACCTCCTTGTGACCCCTCTTACTACTTGGCACCCCCAGCGTGGCACCACAAGAGTCAGCCGTGGCCTTGGTCTCTACCAGAATAAGTATAAGCAAGAGCCTGTCTGCATCCAAGTCCCAGGCAGTGACTGTGAACATCAGGTGTTATCACTGCCAGTAGCACACACTGTCCGCAAAAACGTGCTGCTAACTTCAGAAGATGCAGCCTTTTAGAAGAGACTAAACTGGAAAGTAAAAATCACTACAGAGAATTGAGGTTTTTAGCTAAAACTAGGACAGTGTTTGTTCCGTAAATGCTGGAGAGTCGTGTACATTATTTGAGTCAGTGTTCTTGAGTTGATCATGCTGGAATTTCTATTAGAGAGGAATGCAGACGTGCATTTTTGAGACTAAAGTAATAGAGCTTCCCGTAACATCGTTGGAATTCATAATTTTTTTGTTAACCTCTAAGGAAGCCTGTTACAGAAAGAAAGCTTAAGCTGCCTTTCGTTGTTAATTAGTATGGGTCTTGCTGCTCAGGTGTGAGGATGCATGTTGTAGAATCATAGAATGGCCTAGGCTAGAAGGGACTTTAGAGATCATCTAGTCCAACCTCCCTGTTTTGGGCAGGGACGCCACCTCTCGACTAGACCAGGCAACACATAGAGACCGAGCGGGAATCGAACCTACGACCTCGGTGTTCATCATTGTTGCCAGCACCGCGCTCAAACTACTGAGCTAACCGGCCCCCTGCCGGTGGGACAGGATCACCAAATTAACGCTGTCGGTGTTTGGAGTGGCGTCCCGCAGCGTGAACACACAGCGGTCGCTCCACAGCTGCCTCTTGCCCAAGCAGTGGAATGAATAGCATGGTGGTTCTTGTAAAAAATGAGTGACAACTAACAAGAATCTTCTATAAACATCTTTTATGCTTAATGGAATACTAAAGCTTTTCTTTACCTGTATTTTAGAATAGAATAAAACGTACTTGGAGAAATAATTCTGCTATGTGACCACAAAAGCTGTCTTCCGTACTTCCTCAGGGATTTTGTCGTATGTGGACAGGAAATTCTGCACTCTGCTTAGTTCAGAATGGAAACAAACATTAAAAACTTGGGAGTTGCTGCTCAGTCACAAATCCTTGTGTTCTCTGTCAATAGGTTCCAGAGAAATGCATTGAGATAGCCATTATGCTGCAAAAATCAGAACATTCAAGTTCAAGCTTCACAGGCCTTCGTTCAGAAGAAATTCAGTTAGGAATTCAGCGACAGAAAGAAAAGAATGCTGAGGCTCTGCGGTAAGTTAAACATCCCTTAACACCAGCTTATACTTCCTAATATTTGCTGTATATTAAATATCCAAAATAATAACCCAAAATTACTCAACTACATCTTAAGCTCGACAAATTCAGAATGCCCAAGGGTTGTTGTAATGTATTTTCTATCTTGACTTGGCAGCGTCTCTCCTCAGTATGCATATTTCCTTCTTTCATCTTTCCTGTCATCCCCCTTGACACTCTGTTTACTGCATTATCTTTTGTGGAGCAATTTTTATTCTATTTTTGAATACTTCTCTCAGTATCGTCTACTTGACAATTCCCTCTTTTTCCCTCAGAAACTATGAAAATTTGGTCAACATGCTGCTAGACTGTGTGGAACAAAGAAATCTGTAAGTCTCCCTTTCTGTGGATGAGAATTTTTTTGTGGGTGGACTGGAATTGGCTACAGGAATAAATACCAATTGCACCATTAACTGAAAATTTAGTTGCACTTGTGTGTTTCCCTAAATTACAATCAAGCTCGTTGGCTGTAGCAGTGGCATAGAACATTACTTTTGCTACTGCAAATGTATTTACATAATCTTAATATATATAGTAATGTCTGTGTAAAAGCAGTATATGCAAATATGCTACTTATTGTCTGTTTTGAATGTTGGTTTTTTTTTTCCTCAGTCCCTGGAAGTTTGAGCACATAAGCATTGGATTTCTGTCTCTGCTCCTGAGGGATGATAGGGTGCTGCCCGTCCGTGCCATAAAGTTTTTCGTGCAGTGTCTCAACCACGATGCAATTGTAGTTCGTAAGGTAAAACCAGTATAATGTTATCTTTGTGTTTTGCAGCTCATTGGGGTTTAGATCAGTCGTTTGTGGTGTTTTGCTGTGACAAAGGACAAACATGGAGGTGTAGGTTCCTCCCCACCCTCCCAGCCATGTAGGGGTGCAAAAATTCATACTCCAAGAAGATGACAGTCTTGGCAGTGCTGTAGCCATGACATATGACGTAGAGTCTGGAAACTGTGAAAATGTGGAACATACCTACTCCTTCTTACTTAGCTCAGAGTTCTTTGCAGAATTTCTTCTGCAGATGTGGGGCTTTTTCCATCCGCCCCTTTCTACTTACAGGAGCTTTCTTGGTGTCCTGTTTGTACCTTTCAGTCCGCTTGTTCCCTCAGCGAGGCTTGAAAGTAACAGCCACTTCCTTTTCTTTCCTGTAAGTGATTAGTGGCGAGGTTTCTCTGGGCTATGAGAGTGACGTTTGAGTCATGTCCTGTATCCCCCAAAATGACTGAGATTACTTCTTTATGGGAAATATTGGGGTGACAAAGTTAACTTTAATGTTCACTGGCTTGTTAGAGTGCCAAGTAAGTGGCTTATAATTCGTCTGTGATGAGATGCATCATTCTGGAGGGAAGTGTATGGAATGGATACATTAATAATGCCCATTTCTTTCCTTCCTTCTTCCTTTCAGGTGGCCATCTCAGCTGTGGCTGGTATTCTTAAGCAACTTAAGAGAACACACAAGAAAGTGCCCATCTGCCCTTATGAAATAAGTAGGTTTTTTTAATGTAAGAAATGTCTTACTAATGTTTACCCTTGATTTTTTTAAAGCATATTTTTCTAGTTAAATTGAACATAGAATCACAAAACTTACATTTTTCATTTATCTCTGGTTGCTAATGTCCTGAGCAAACCAAATAGGTAATACAAGCGATGATTTTTCAGTTGCGTTGTGTGTTTTTAAAAAAACAGTGTTAAGCTATTCATTTGTTTGAAATTAGTTAAAGCTTCAGAGATACAGTCATTCTCCTTTCAGAAAGCCTTGTAATCTGTGAGAATCATTTGCGTGTTTCTTTATCCTTTTTTAAAATAATTCCAAATGGCACATTTAGATAAATTACTAAAGGAGTCTTTTCTGTTAGTGTTCCTTTCAACCTGCTAAAGCAAATCTCTGTACAGATTTGTTTGGGACGAGGGAGATAGAAAAGCTCTTCAGAATCTTTAATGACAGTTGTAACAAGTTTTGATAGAGTATTTCCTCTTTAACCAGGTGGAAACCCTAAGCCTTCCAACATTCAGGCTGGCGACAGGCCGGATAACCAGTGGCTGCACTATGACAGTCAGCGCTTACCAAAGACAAAGGAAGCGTGGGAGGCGTGTTGTTTTGTGGAGAAGACGCACTGGGGGTATTATACCTGGCCTCGGTGGGTGTCATTGAGCATTGAGATACAATTGGGAGAGTGAGCAGAAAATACTCTGCGATAAATTAAATTATGCTTGTTAGATTTCTTTCTTTTTTATTTTTTATTGAGACAAAAAAATACAATTTATTTCATCCTTTGTGCTCCTTGCTTGTTTTACCACTTCTGGGGTTTTTAGCAGGGATTTTGTTGGCTTTTTGTAATTTATTTTCTGCCTGTTTCTCTTTGGATTTTGTGGGTAGTATAGACATGTACTCGATATGGCTATTTAACTGCTGCTTTCAAAATGGAGTATGCACATTTGAAAATTATGTAGTTGTGCAATAAGCAGAGTATTCTAATATTACTAGTAATTCTGAACTGTTTGCTGCAGCAAGACTCTTTTTGTTGTAAAATTTCTTTTGCTCTTTTGGAGTTGATGATAAATCCTATTTAATACTGAAAATATAGAAAATAACCATAAGCTTCACTTTACTTTTAAAATGTGTTACTAGATATATTTTTTTTTAACATTCAGAACTATGACAGTTTATGCTCCAGTTGAGCATCAACCAAAGCTTGGACGAAGGAGAGACGAGCTGACAGAGGTAAGGGTTTCCGTTGGTTTCAGTTTTATGGGGTTTATTATGCTACTTCTCCCTACTTTTTTTTAGTACTGTCCACAGATTACTGTGAAGATAATGTGAGAATAAATTCTCGTCCTCTCTTTTAACCTAAGTATTGCTTACCTTTTTGCACAAATTATGTGCAAATAGGGTTGTTTTGCTCAGCTGCAAACCAAGATGGAGATTGGTTTCATGGCTGTTGGGTTACAATCACATTTTTACAAGTAGTAGTAATTGCTGGGAAATCTAGATCCTCACAAGACATTTGTAACTGTATTTTTCTCCTTCATTTTCATGCTCACTGTGTTTAACATACACGAAAAAAATTATTATTTTAATGTATTGCAGCTGTCAGCGATCAGGGAATAATTGTATTAATGAGCACTTTCTTGTTCCTGTTCAAATCTCTTACCAGATTTTAGAACAAGGTTAATTAATGACAGTGAGAACGACCACTTCCTATGGGTTGTGCTAGTGAAAGGAAAGACAGTCCAAAGTCATTAATGAAACTAACAATCAGGAGTCTTGCAAAACATTACCCAGTACTTCCTATAGAAAGAGGGGGGAAAAGGAAAAACCAAGGCATGATTTTTGTCAAAAATAGAATCAAAGTGGAAAATGGGACTTGGAAAGACTGGGATATCATTGTGACAATCAAGCTAATCCTTTGTTTTTTTCTTTTTCTGTTGCAGGCAGAACAAATTATATATGATCACTTTTCTGATCCCAAGTTTGTCGAGCAGTTAATAAAATTTCTGTCTTTAGAAGACAGAAAAGGAAAAGACAAATTTAATCCTCGCAGATTTTGTCTCTTCAAGGTAACTAGATTCAGTAATTAAATTTGCTTCTGCTTTGTAGATAATGTTTGAAGCATGGAAAAGCCACACATTACTTGGCTTACACTGTTGCAAAATGTTGGTTTTTAAAGGCATGGTCTCTTCTGATGAAATACTTAGGGAAACATTTAGAGTAATGTAAAAGTTCATTAATTCTGTTACAAAGGCAAATTAATTTTACTTTTGGCATATTGAAATCTCAAGCACTTTCCTCTCTTATGTTGTTCTTATGAAGACAAAGGTTTAGACAAGAAAGTGTTTCCAGAAATCATCCGTCTTGTTTTCCAGGGCCTTTTCAGAAACTTTGATGATGCCTTCTTGCCAGTTCTTCAGCCTCATTTAGAACAGCTTGTGGCAGACTCCCACGAAAGCACCCAGAGATGTTTAGCTGAAATTATAGCTGGCTTAATAAGAGGTTCTAAACACTGGACGTTTGAGAAGGTGCTGAAGTTGTATTTTTAAGTGATTCTTGGAATTTTATGAATGAGTTTGAATTATTGAACAGATTACACATATGAAGTTTAACGTGCCACCTATGTCCAGGAAAGGACTGGAAAATGTTGCAACACTTCGTTGCCAATCTTGAGCACAATTCATAGCTTGGTTTGGGGCCTGTATAATACAAGGTGTTAGCAGAATGCTTCAAGATTAAAATTAAGACCAGTTTGCTGGTAAGGAGATAGCTAAGCTGATGTGGCTTGTCGCGGGGGAGTAAGTGGTTATGTCCACCTCAGGCTATTGCATCTTTAAGTAGTCTAGACCTAACTGTCTGGATTATTTTTAAATGAATTTCTATGCTGAAAGTGGTTTAATAAAAAATAAAATTTAAAATTGGGAGGGGAAAGGACATGGGGTGTACAAGACTGCTATTCTACGAAAAGCAAAGTGTATGCAGTCTCTAATACAATTGCGCTTAAATCACCATGAAAATATTTTCCCATTATTTGAAAAGACAGATGGATTTGGGTTCACAGAGGTTAGATGACCATTTTGTCCTTAAATCATGTATTTTGCCTTTTTGCTGAGCAGGTGGAAAAACTTTGGAAGCTTCTCTGTCCATTGCTTCGAACGGCTTTATCCAACATTACAGTGGAAACCTATAACGATTGGGGCACATGCATAGCAACCTCCTGTGTAAGTACCCCAGGTTCAGTCCTGTAAAGCTATAGCCACATGGTCAGGTTTCACAGATAATACATAAATCAGAGATTTATGCACAGAGCTATTTGGATATATTTTTTCAGCCAAAACTGAGAACTCTAAATACAGTGTAAAACTAACATCCATTTAAAATCTCATTGTGAAAAGTTATTTAATTTTGCACTTGCTTACTAGAGTAAACCCAAGGGATGTAAAAAATAATTCTGTCAAATCTTTCTTTGTTTATACATTATTTACATGTTAAAAAAATCTCCAATTTGCTTATATCTGTGATGGCTGTTTATTTTCAGGAGAGCAGAGATCCTAGGAAACTGCACTGGCTGTTTGAATTGCTGTTGGAATCTCCATTGAATGGTGAAGGAGGATCATTTGTAGATGCATGGTAAAATTAATTTTAACTGTTTTATTGTGACTGAATAAAGAAAGCAAGCAAGCATGGATAAAACGTATTGCAAGTGTATTGTGCCAGCTGGCCTGTAGAAGCAGGGAACAAAAGCACTGCTTTCCAATTAACTTTCCCCACACAATGGCAATTTCTTAATTTTTTTTTTAAGGTAATTAAATCTAGTTAACAGAACGTGAAGTTTTGGAACTGGCACAGCAGCAGTACCCTTGTTTCTTTCTGTCATTTTTACCCATCTTTGTAAGGAAGTCGCACAAAACCATTTCTGTGCACTGACACACACAAAACATTCCAAAACAGGGCTTGGAGGGGATTGGGGAAGGAAGAAACAATGTTGTGTGACTAAAGATAAGCTCTTCTAATTCCCAGCCGACTCTATGTGCTGCAAGGTGGCCTTGCCCAGCAGGAGTGGAGAGTGCCTGAGCTGTTGCACAGACTGCTCAAGTACTTGGAACCCAAACTCACACAGGTTTACAAAAACGTCCGAGAGAGAATAGGAAGGTCAGTGTTATCTTCTGCACTTCTTGGGTTTTTTCCTTTTCATTTTATGTGAGTAACTGAGTATCTTAAGTAATTACACTCAAGTGGTGACTCTGCTATCTCTTTATGTTAATACCGGTAACAGAAATTAGGTAAATTATTGTTAACAGACTTGCTTTGGAGACTTCAGGTGACTTGTATATTCTTGTCTTTCATTGTTTATGGCCTGTTATGTTTACATATGATACCTCTAAATCTCTTAAAAAAACAACAAAAAAAAAGTCAAAAAACCACCAACCAACCCATCCTCTCTTAATCTCCACAGTACTTCCCCTGAAACAACACTACAACCCTGAGTTACTCTGCCTCATTCCTAATGAGGCATAAATATACAAGGAATCCTTTAGAGAGCATTTTAGAGATTTAAAAGACTAACTGCAGATCTCTTCGAAGGAGAGGAGAGTTACAGCTTAGTGATTGTTTAACCCTGCTTGCTTCAAATATCGAGAAAGAGAGTTTTTGAAAAACATTTGGTTTTGAGTAACTTTGAACTGAAGATAAAACAACCTATAAGTCTTAAACTTCCAAGTTCAACAAATAGATCACGTGTAGCTATATTCTCTAGACAGTTGTCGAGCTAACTGTACATTCTTGCTTGCTTTGCTTTTTTTTTTTTAGTGTTTTGACCTACATATTCATGATAGATGTTTCCTTGCCAAATACTGCTGCAACTAAATCTCCTCGCATCCATGAATTTACTACCCGGATACTTGAAAATCTTAAACCCCTCATGGAGGCAGATGAAGAGATTCAGAATCACGTTATGGAAGAGAATGGAGTTGGTGAACAAGACGAGAGAACTCAGGGCATTAAACTCTTGAAAACTAGTGAGTTCCTTAATGAAGTTAAGGATCGGAGGTATTTTAGGATGTGATGATTAGGACTGCAAATCATTCAGTTGCAACATGTGGTTTTTCTTCTCAGATCTGTGCTGAAGGTATCTGTGGTCTCAGGGTTGAGGTTTATAAAGTTGCCTTTGTGGGGTCAGACTTAACTCCCAGTATAGGTCCACCCTAATGCATGAAAATCTCACAGGGGAGTCTTGCAATAAATTTGATCTGTAACTTGCTTTGTGATTATTACTGGGGTTAATTTTATTAATCAGGGATCATTTCTCTTTACAAAACAGTTCTAAAGTGGCTGATGGCAAGTGCGGGACGGTCCTTCTCTACAGCCGTCACAGAGCAACTCCAGCTTTTACCCTTATTTTTCAAGGTATGTGCTCTAATTGCTCCTTTATTAGTAATGTTTGATTAAAAAGGGATTCTACATATAAACCAAAATTGTGAAAGACTCTTGTAAATAAAAACAAAACCTATAATGATAATAAAAACGTGTACAGAAGAGGTCCATATTTTTATGCTCAGGGATTTTGCAGCTGGTAATCTAGCCTGTTAAATGATTTACTCACAGTAATGATTTGTAGGTGAATGCACTGTACGTGTGTAACTTCGGAGAGAAAAAGTGGTTAATTCATGAATGAATAATCCTAACCTCTTTTTCCCCCTCCCTCTCTTTTGTCTTATACTGTAGATTGCACCAGTAGAAAATGACAATAGCTATGATGAGCTCAAAAGAGATGCTAAGATGTGTTTGTCATTAATGTCTCAGGGTTTGCTGTATCCTCAGCAAGTGCCTTTGGTACTTCAGGTGCTAAAACAAGTAAGTATGGTCAAAATAGCTTAAAGCTTTTGTTACCTAGGACACTCTGTGGGGTTTTTTAAGATTATACAGTACTTATGACTTGAAGAGAATCAAATACTGATTTTCTTAGAGATGAAGGGAGTTTATCAGAAGTGTTCTAAAACATTCCTAGAAACAGTAAATATATTTTACTTTATTGGCTCATTCTGTATGCAGTTTGCCATGCAAGAGGTGCTGCTTTTTTTTTTATTTTTTTTTTTTAGCTCCAGTCGTTCAAGACTGACCTACAGCAGTAAAACTACCTATTGCAAAATGTTGGCAAAAGCTGTACATACAGCCAGAATAGTAACTGCAGTGTTGCAATCCAGGCTGCACCCACGCCTGAGGCTTTCAATACTTTGGAGTTCCATAAGCATGTGGAGATCCAAGTAAAGGAACTTGAAAAAAACTTGGCTTTCAAAATCCATCATGTAGAATATATATACTCAAGCCGAACGGAATTCCTGGTTTATTTCTATCTGCCCTGTGACTCATGTCAGAAGTGAATCAGAGAGACACTTGCCTACTTAGTCTTTTGTAGTATTGGGGATCTGTGAAATAATTAGGTATCTGTTAAATAACAGTGGAAGTTAAGCGTGTAATGAATTATTGTCTACCTAATAGTTGCGTGCTTTGGAAGTCAAAGACCATATGAACCAAAAATATCTGAATATATAAGGGAAGTTATTTACAAAATAGAATTTGCTTGACATCACGTAGCTGCTTTCTCATACTTATTTATTTATACTTGCAGACAGCAAGAAGCAATTCTTGGCACGCTAGGTATACAATATTAACCTACCTCCAGACCATGGTGTTCTACAATCTCTTTATCTTTCTCAACAATGAAGAAGCTGTCAATGACATTAGATGGCTGGTTATAAAACTTCTCGAAGATGAACAGCTTGAGGCAAGTAATACCTTTTCCTAAATGCTTTGCTTCACGTGACTGGTTTCTTGCCCTTTTATGAAAAAGCTACTGGTTGTAAATTAATACAGCAAGTATTTCTAGCGTTGCTTTATTCCTACTTTGAAAATATAACTGGCTTTATAGGATTTATTTATTTTGTATCCCATTTTTCCTTTTAATATTCTGTTCCAGGAGAACAGCTGTTTAGAAAATTCTTCAGTAGTGATTTTTAAAAGTTCTATTGTTTCAATTTTTCAACAGAGTGGGATATGGCTTTGTTTCATTCTTTATTTAAGTACAGCTGAAATAGGGATTTTATCATTTTACTATACATATTAGCAAGGATGTTGCTAGAAAGTTCAGCTTCTGACAAGGTAGAATGCCATCCTGTGAGAAAACTCTGTAAAACTAGTATTTATTACCCTATGTCTGTTTCCCATTTAATTGTATCAGTGTATTAAGGACGAAAATACTTTTTCTTTTTTTCTTACATCCAGCTCACTACAGAAGTATTTCTGTAGATATCTGTAGATTTTTCCTTAGCTCTGTGCAAGACGCAAGTGTAATAGGACAGAATTTGTCTAGCAGATGCTGTTACTGATGGTGTTACGTGATTCAAAAAGATAATAGTTTGTCAGCTTGCTTATCAGTCTGACAAGGTTTTGTGTGTCTCTTGAGCTAGTGATACTTCAGTATATACAAGTGGAAGGAGACAAAATCCAAAATCTTGACTGTGGTAGATGTGTACTGTCAAAGATACGTGTATGAATGTGCAGTATGCTCTTAAAAGTGCTTTCAAGATCATAAGCTTACTCTTGAGGGGGGGAAAAAAAAAGGTGAATCATTGAGTCTTGTTTGTAAGACTTCCAAAAGCTGGGGAAAAATTGCATTTATACAGTATCATGAATTCACAGAACTGCAGCCTTGTGGTAAGTATGATTGATCATGTTCAAGTACAGTGAAAACTTTAGTGTTAACCTCTGGTCTCTTCCACTTCCCCTGCGCCATCGATTTTGCTGGTTTCTGTGCTGTTGGGATGCATCTGTGTAACCCTACTTGTGGGTGCCTGGGTGTTTTTCTTCTAGGAAGAGAGGATTCTGAAGTGTGACCCCCTTCTGCCAAAGCAAAGAATCCTGGATTAGGGCTTTCTGAAGCTACGTTTAAAACACAAGTTATACCCGAGATGTGAAGCATGCTTTTGCAAACAGTGAATTGGAAATAATTTGAATATACACATTAAAATTTCTGATTTAAAAGGTTTAGTATTACAATCTCTGTCAGTGCACGCAATGCTTAATGAACAGCACTTGTACTCCTCACCTGTCTGTGCTGGTTCCAACATGCAGATGAGCTCTCTCGTGTCTGTCATGTCAGTATTTGCTAGTGAGCTGGAAAGCTGCCAGCTTGCAATCCCAGAGAAGTGGTTTCCCACACCAGTCAGAACATTTATCTCATCTTGCATAATTTTGAAAAAAAAAACCAATATTCACTTTATTGCATTTACCTAGTTACTTTAAATGTACAAAATTGTTACTCTGTGCTACAGAGATACAAATAAAAAAAACTTATCTATGCTGATCACCACATAAGTGTTATTACCATGGAAGCTTTCACTTTTCTTTGAAAAATATCCTTGTTCATTCTTGATAATGATTGACAAGATGCAGTATCTTGCAGAGTAATTCCTATGTATTTTTTGAATGCTAGATTTTTAAGATGAGAATCCCTGGCTTTAACTAGTATTTGGTGTCTTTTCCATGTAGAACTGAGGTTTTGGTTCTTGGATTTAAAGATACTTTTCTCTTTTATTGTTTTTGTTGTTTTGCTTATTTTGATACACATTTTTGATGGGTGCCAGACCTAATGATCCAGCCCATCTTCTTCCTTGTTTCACTATACACTTGGCTCTTCTAATACTGTTAGAATTACTATTCTCAAACTTCCAGGTGGTTTTTTCGTAAATGACAAATGACAGTCAAGGGCAAATGACAGTCTCAGATGATGAGGGTGAATGCCAAATAGCAACGTGACTGCAGTACAGAGTGAGCATGGCTTGTGGGGAAGCCTGGCTTCTGTCCAATTCAAGTTTTGTGCATCCAGTTTTAAGCACAGGCCTCTGGAAGTGGAGAAGGCTGAGCTTAAACAGGCTTGTGGGAGATTCTCCAGCTGAAAGTCAGAGGAGTCACAGAGCTGGTGGAGTACTGTGAATGTAAGAGCTAATGGGACCCTGCAGCTGATAAAGGGGCAAAGTCCTGAAAAATAACATCTGTGTACAGCCGTATAGCCACCGTTGAAGATCATCTCTAATTTTCATGTCATACAGGCAGCAGGAGGCGGGTGCGGGAGTGAGTTTGAGAAAGCATGTATTCTGCTAATTCTCTCTACTCAGAAGTAGAGACAGAGTGAAAAGGACTGTGTTCATTTTGGTTAAAGCAATAGCCTAGTTAATCTGAAAGCATCTTTCTCACAGTTTTCTCAGCCATAATTTGATCTAGGAAGCTATCTGGGTAGGTGCTCTGTATGTTAATATTTATATAAATCAGTGTACTGAATACATAGCACTTGTGTTAATAAACATTTTTCATATTACACTGCAAGATTACAGTAATGGGAATATTTTCTCTTTATATAAGTAGCCCCTTGCAAGTACTGCGGTTAGGTTTTTCTTTTGCTGTTGAGTTTTGGTGGGGTTTTTTGTCCTGATACTATTAAACTTTTGTAGAGCTTGGTCAGTCAGTTCTGACAAAAAAAAACCCAACACACCCCGTTCTTGACTGGCACGGTATTCCTCTGCTGCTACTGCATACTTTTTATAAGTCATGGTGTGAATGTGATGATATGTAAATTGTTTAGTGTCAGACGTGATGAATTATTAGCTTGTTCATGGATGATTTTAAAGACTTTGCTTCTCAGCGTTCCTTTTAGTTAGATTATTCAGTTAGAAATGGAAGTGGATTTAATACAGCGAGTAGTGATGCAAAAGAGTACAGTTCACTTGGGAGTTTGCTCAGTTTACAGCCAAGCTGCTTTCTGTGACGAGGCCTTCATTAGCACATTGTGTTTCATTAAACAGCTTAGTTCTTAAGAGACTCACAATTGCTGATAAACAATACCGGCAGACTTCCACTTCGTACTTCTTTCTGCTATTAACAAGTAGATCATGTTTGAATAATATATTATAGAAATGTAAATGGAATGAAGTCTCAAGAGCTTGTTGTTAACTTACTGTGTTTAATTATTGCAGCACTTGCAGATATACTTATTGCTTTGTGGAGGTTCAGAACATTATGTTCAAGGATATAATTTATTTTAATCTGCTGCATTGGATTCAGAACGTTGGTAGATGTTTGTACTCCAGATAGACAAATGTTCTGTTTACAGCTACATGTGACAGTATGTACTTACCAACTGACAACTGCTGTCAGTGTTTCAACAAGTTGATTTGTTTTTCAAGTTTGTAAATGTTGCAAGGTTTTTGTCAGCCTGCAATTATTGGAAGTGGAAGTGAGTTTTGGAGGGACTCCCAATTTATACGTGGTTTTCTGGTGCTAGAGCATTTTGGTTTTAGGAGGTTTGAGTAGATGGGATAAATTAGTAATAGTGATGGGTTGTCCTCACATTTAAAAGTGAGGTACTGAGTTGTCTCTACTTGTAATCCACTAACACTTTTAAATCCACTGGCTGCTTTAAAAGGAATGGAAAGATCTGTGTTTTGAATAGTTTGGCAATTAGATGAGAGCTTAGTTTGGATCTTGATCTTTTGGGATCTCTGTGTTACTGAAGAGTACTTTTCCAACCTGGAATTCTGTGGGGGTGTTTTGGTTTTTTCATGTAGTGAAAGGAACTGGTACTTAGGACAGCAGAGTTAATAATGCTGGAGTGTTACAGAATTGAATTATTAACCATAAACCACTGAAGTTAGTTGTCATTGCTTATTAATCCTGCATCAGTTGTATCTCCCAAAGAATTCTTGTGCTAGCTCAGTCAGTAGAGTGTAGCGCTAACAACACTAAGGTCACGGGTTTGATTCCTGTTCAGTCCCCATGTGTTGCCTGATCAAGTCAACAGGTGGCATCCCTGGCAGCAGGGAGGCTGGATTAAAATGATCTCTAAGGTCTCTTCCAGCTTAGGCCATTCTATGATACATGTGGAGCAGAATCAGCTTGGTCTCATGAACATACCTTTTACCTTACCTTGGAAAAAGTCTTCTGTTGTTGTCAAATGTGATGTCTCCATGTACATTTGAGGGGGAAGACTAAATGCTTTTGAATAAATTATACTTTTTTTTTCTTGGCAAAACTAATGTTAATACAGAGGCTACAGATTTTGTAAAGCACACAGATTATTTGAGGTGGTGTGTCTTGTTCTCATTCCAAGTCTGCTTTTAAACTTTCTAAACCTAGTCTATTATCTATATCTTGACAATGGAGTTATATTATTTGCTTGGTGGGTCATTTCACAACAGGTTATGTAAAGGAAGTTCTGTATTACAATAAAACTATGTAAAGAGCTGTATAGTGAACTAGTAGTAGTTTATGATATATGAGATAATAAGATAATATTTTAGAGACTTTTCTCAGGCAGAGTGCGGTAACATGGCCTAGCTGGATGCGCTTAAAGGATAGTAATAACATAAACACCTGTTTCTAGCTGCACGTGTGTGCTTTAGTAATCGTGGTATGTGCTGTCTCTGCTCATAGGTGAGAGAAATGGCTGCCACGACATTAAGCGGTTTGCTGCAGTGCAATTTTCTCACCATGGATGGGCCCATGCAGACCCATTTCGAGCAACTGTGCAAGATGAGGTTACCAAAAAAACGCAAGCGAGACCTGGGTGCAGCGGTGGATACAATTCCTTCTGGTGGTAAGGAAATGACTTCGGAGACTAAAACCGTGCGTCTAGGTAGCAGGTTAGGAAGAAATAAGTATTTTGTGCTGCATTTACATGCTCATTCTGCAATCTCTCCAGATGGAATAGAATTTGTCTTGTGGTGAAACAGTGTTTAGAAATTAACTTATACCCAGAGAAACGTAAGGTCTGTTGCCCATGCAAATGTTTTTCCTTCCTAAGCGTTCACAGACCATTAATGGCAAATGACTTGTCCTTATGTGCTTTAGTGTCTGTTTCTGTCTATGTAATGCAGATCCTAATCCTTGTTAAGTACTTCAGGAATTTGATCTACAGTATAATAATTAATTAGAATACACTACTACCAAAGATAGAAAATTTTTTTAATGAAGTATTTGTATGTTAAACTAATTTACTACTTTTCAAGAATTAACACTAGAGAGATTTCCAGTGGGCACAGTTCACGTAGTGGAGAGTGCAGATGATGAGGGATACCTGTTTCCTCAGTAAATAAACTTGCTTAGCTGCCACAACATCATTTCACTCCTTACCTACGTTACCTTCTACTTTTTAGCAGTGCGGGTTTTTTATTCTAAAAAAACCCTCAACCTAACACATGCACAGAAAAATACCGCCTGAAATTCACACAGAACAAAAAATCCCTTCATTAACTTTAGGAGCTTTGGCTTCTGATCAGACATTTAGTGCGTGTGAGTTGCGTACATTTGACCCAGAAGGACTGAGTTTCCATGGTGTCAAATAGTTCTGGTCCTTCAGAAGACATCCCAAATGCCGAAAGAGGGAAAGGTGGAAATGCAGTTCATGAGCTATTTACTGAGTAGAGAGAAAGAGTCTTTGAGAGGAGGAAGTGCATTTGAAGTGTTTATAAAGTGTACAGCAGTTGTGGAAATGAAAGATCGATTCAGAGAATGAATCTGTGATGCTCTGTGAGAAAGCAGAAGTGATTTGGAGGTCTATAACTTGTGTGAAAGTATTTGACTGTGTGGTCTGTAAAACTGTGTGGGTTTCTGTGGAAGCTAGGCTCTCTCTACTGTGGCAGGCATCTTGAGGGTGGTTGTTCTGTGTTTTTTAAATTAGGGTCAATACTCCTTATCAGCATGTTGTTCTAACTACATCACTACTGTCTTCCGTCATTCTCATCAGTTAAAAACAGCCGTATTTTCACTGATCACCACTTTTAAGTTTGGCTGTGACATTGAGGAATGACTTAGACAAGATGGTTGCACCCTGCCACCTGGAAATTAATACTTTGCCTTTGCAGACCTGGTGAAGCGCCACGCTGGTGTACTGGGACTGAGCGCATGTATTTTGTCAAGTCCGTATGACGTACCCACGTGGATGCCACAGCTCTTGATGGATCTCAGTGCCCACCTTAATGATCCACAGCCTATCGAGGTAAAAATACTTTCACTGCTCTTCTGTTCAATATAACATATCTAAAAATATGCACGAGTCATTCTTAGTTCCCCTTTCCTACACAATAATAGATACCTTTTGAGACACTTGGTTTCTGCTGCTTTTTATTAAGTGGTTCCAAATCTGATTTAAGTCACTGCTTTTAAGTATTTTTCATGATAGTTCTTTTCTTGCTTTTGGATTTAAAGCATAAGCTGAAATCTGTAAGAGTTATATCTATAATGAGGAAACAGTGGTTTTAATTAAAAAGTCACTTTGGTGCATGCCGTTCTAGAAAATACCAACCTGAACCAAAAAATCACTCTGAAATTTTTAGAAAAAGATTTTATAAGCAGCCCTAGAAACAAGTTTTTAATGTAATAGTTTGCTTTCACACTGTTTTTTTTTTTGCCCTGTCTCTTCAGTTTTGTTGACCTTTGCAGAGTAGTGAGTTTATGGCTGAAGAATTCTTTAGATTTAACAGACTTTGCTATACTAAGTTTGACTGAATCAAGAAACTGAACTGATAGGACTTTCCTTTTGTTACTTTATTAATAGTCTGAATTATTTTAATAACAGAAAATAGTATTTCTCTGACTTCTTTCTTCCATGCACCATAAGTGATTTATCACACCATAAGTGATTCGTCAGCTCTTCCTCATGTTTTGACCCAAACCATTGGTTTGAAATACCCAAGAAAAAGGGGAAAAGCATTTCACTTACACTTTATGAGAACATAGTAGGTTTTTTTCAAGCTCAGAATCCTTTTAGTAAGTATGCTAGAGTTGTGACACTGGTCAAAAAACTAACAAGAACCATAAAAATTAAAATACTTGAGAGCTGAGCTGGATTCCTTGGAGCCCTTCTGACTTTTGTAACTGCTCAGACGCTTTGCTCTACTCAGCAGTTGTTTTTGTTGCTTACAATGTCAGTTTTGTTATGAAGCATAAATCTGTAACTGATACAGATCGATACTGATTGTCTGCTCTGCAGATGACTGTGAAAAAAACGCTGTCGAATTTCCGGAGGACCCACCATGACAACTGGCAGGAACATAAGCAGCAGTTCACGGATGACCAGCTCCTAGTGCTTACTGACCTTCTGGTTTCACCGTGCTATTATGCATAGGTAGGTAAGATTATTTGTTTTGACATAAAGTGACAGAAACATCAGTCTCATTGAAGTCTACTCCAGCTCTCCAGCCTAGCATGGAGAACAGGGGAAAATGCTACAGCTAGGTGTAAATCCTGTGCAGCTCCAGGGGCCTGTTCAAGATGAGACTTATCCTGGCGAAATATTGTCCGTCTTTTTGTGCATTCCTGTATCACGCTAGTGTTTTTCCAAGACACTTACACCTGGTTTTTTTGAATGTTGATATTCCCTTTTTCCATTTTCTGCCAGTTGACTGCTTTTAAAAGCCTGGCAGTTTCACTAAAGGCAAGGTACTTGCTGCTTTGCACTTCCGATGCCTCTGAGGACTTCAGCCTACCCCACCCAGACCAATGTATTTTCTACATCTTAGAATGGGGAATGTCTGTTAACAAACTTTTTTTCTGCCTAATGGCTTTGCTGCCAGGCCTCTCCACACAGGCATGTCCCCAAAGAATGAATCCATTCCTGGGGTTTCTTTTTGTTACACTACAGGAATCTGATCCCTGTTGTACTGTGATGCTTTGTGACAGTTTTCCAAAGAAATTTTAATTTATATTTTCATTTTGTTCTGTGGTAACAGCATGAAGCAACAATCTTATTTTGAATTTTCTTTCTTTCTTTCTCTCTTCTTTTAGGTTTCTTCTGGAAAGACAGGACTGTAGGAACCTTTTATGTGAAATAAAGGAAACTCAAATTTATCACATAGAAAAAAACTTTGTTTTGGAAATCCTGATGCCTAATCAAAACCACTTTTAAATATGAACATAAAGACCTGGTTTTATTAAAAAAGAATTTCACCTCCCCAGGGAGCGGCCGTGGGAGCCCCACAGCCTCTTTGTCACTGCGCTTGCAGAGCCTGATTATGAGTTTGTTGCTGACCCTTCTCACCGGCCTGCATTACACACCTGTCTTGTTTCTGCTTACTTGCACCCAGTGACTTACATTGCACATTTCTTACCCTCTTTTTCTGACCCTCTTCCCAGCTGTTTCCGACATCAAAGATATGCAGAACCAGAGAGAGCTGCAAACCACAGCATTCTCAGCGAAGCTCTCCAGTCCTCTTGATGCAACTTCTTACCTAGTCAGCATACAATAACCGGGAACCTACCTTTCTCAGAGTTTATTTTTCACTACTTGGATCTGAGTGCCTGTCAGGTGACAGGCTCTATATCATTCAGTCCACCTCAGGGCAGGATTGCCTTTTTATATCTTCCTTGTCCAAATGTAAATAAATAGCTGCTCTCCTCTGTGCAGTATAGATGGTGGCAGGACAAAATGTGGGGAGTGAAAGCTCTTACTGCCTGGCCAGGTCTTCATAGATAGCTTGACCCCGTATGGAATAAAAATCTATGATTATCTGCATATTTTTAAGGGTGACGGACTATGGGTCTTTTTGTGTAATTAGAGCCCACAGATAAGAAATCACGGACTATTGACTGGTGGTTGAAGTCGCAGAATGAAATGTATGCACGGTGTGGAAAGGCGCTGACTATTTTTAACAGTATATTCTTATAAAGATTGTCACTGTTGGAGCAAGCATATCTTGTTGGAAGATTGTAGAAGCTCTGTTTTTTTGCCTGCAGCTTTGTTCAGAGACTGGTACCTATTGGCTATTTAACGACATGTTTAATATGTGTTACATAGTTGTAAAGGACTGTATAAATTGTAGAGGCATTGCATTGACAAAACATTGTACAGTTTGCAACCTTTTACATAACACCATTGTGAGATTAATTTGTAAAGATTCATACTTAGATGTTAATACGGTAGTAGTTCTGGCTTTTGTATCAAATCAAATGCCATTATTAGTTTTTTAAATTATTTTCTTTAACAGAATATCTCTTTGTGTCTGAAAGGCAGAGGTTTTGTTTTGGTTTTCTCGTATCTCATTATTACTATGTCTCATTCGGATTTTAATGCGACACTTGTGGCCATCTCTAAACGCTGGAATCACCTAACTCTGGTGTGAGAAGCTCATAGAATGTGAGGTACATTGAAATAATTCATAAACTGGTGTGCGTTTCAATCTTCATGCAGCCCTCTGGGAGCACTGATACATTTTGAGTGATCTACCTGCTGAGCGTGTGACTCGTTCCAAACTTCAAAGCACAGCAGTGTTCCTAGTGCAGCATTTAATGAGTGTCAGCACACAGATGTAACCACTGTATAGTGTAGTGCCAAAATTATGATTTCAATTGTGTACGTAGTTTAAGGCCCAATAAATGGACTATTTGTAACATCTGCATTTTTTTGTATTTCTGAAGTGGAAGTTTCTTATTTTGAGAGTCTGACTTAAGGTTGTTTACTGTTCTTTTGAGCTTTTTGCACGAGGTATGTGTTGAGGTTTTCTGTTTTGTGGGATCTGGCAGTGAGTTAAGGAATAATTAAAGATCTAGTTCTCATGGTTGGGGAAACCAGCTTTATGTTTAGGTGAAAATACCTTGTACCTGGTGAGGCTTGCCCAAAAACTTCTGAGAAGTGCGCTTAAGATTGGAGAAACTAGTCTGAAATGGAGGAGTGTTTGCTGAGAGAATTAGGACTGTAGAAAGAATGGAAAGTAATTGCTGCAGAAGATCATCTTTAAAGTATGTGTTGGCCAATTCACTGGTGGACCAGATACTGTGTCTGCTGTTCTGCCCAGACTGAGGGCCGCTAATTCTATAGGATCCAGCTCTGCTGCTTTCCACTGTGGTTGGGAGTTTCTTTTCTTAGGTATCTATAGTCAAAGCGCAGCTGCATATTGAGGATTCAACACTGCTTAGAGAATCATTCTGTAGTCAGAGCTGTGATGGCAGATAAATAGAGGTGGTATTAACTCACAATGTCTGTCTATAGATCAGCAATAGATTACTTGATCCAAACAGATCGCCCAGAAAATAGAGTAACTATTCAAAGTACCGTTCTATAGGACAAAATATACCTGTGGCAGTGTGAACAAACTTGTACTAACTGATTTTTTGTGGGTGAGAGATTAGATGTTAGTCTCTTATTCTGAGAATGTAGGAACAATTTTGAGTTTTTCATCAAATACCAGCACTCCATTGCTACTTTAATTCCCTACATTTCTCTGAGCGATATACACACATAATGACTTCTGAGCTTTCCATCATTTTGATGTCTTATGCTATCTCTTCCCTAAAGCCTTCGAAATGAAAAAACAGCAGTGCCTCAGTTTGGAGAAGGAGCAAGTTCTAGTGTGAGAAGAGAGGATTTTTCTCCCTGAACAGTAAGAGAGACAGAAAAAGATCTTGGAGATGGTAGCCTTGGTAGCCATAGTGACCCTGTATCAGTCCAGAGCTAAGCTCAGTGACCACCACTGTTCGAAGCACCAGTGAATGGCAATCATGTAAGGCAGAATTAATTTGTTGGGGTTGGGGAGCTGGTTTGGGTTTGTTTGGGGGTTGTTTTTGTTTGTTTTGCTCAGATTGCAGTGACAGTGCTTAGTGACTATCTGGCTAAAGTATTAAGTGGAGAAACCTCCCACATTTCTGTAAATAAGTGGGGATATTTGTGCATGGGAAAACCTGCTTAAGTCACAGAGAGGCGTGATGCTTATTTTGATAGAACTGCAAGAAAATTATCAAGTAGGCAAATAAGACTTTAACTTGTGCTTTTGGGTGGCACCACAGACTTGACATTGGTGAATTGTGTTATTAACAAATTGAGCTATTCTGTGTATGGATTTTATGGATTATTTTCTTTTTTCAAAATGGAAGAGGAAAAGGCATGAAGGTCATTATCTCTGATACTGTGTGTTATGACTGTATTCCTTTCACATCCAGCTATCTGCCCTCTCATCATTTTACGTCTGTAGCAGGCTGCTGGGAGACCTGTGCTTGGTACACACAGGTGATGTCTCCTGTCAGTTTTTTTGACAGGTGCACCCCCAGCATCCCACGCTCCGTTCAGTCTTGTGCTTTCTTCCACAGCTTCAGTCTTCCTGGAATTCTGCAGCAGAGACTGCCTTCCTTTTCCCCTGTGCTGTGGAAAACACAATCATCTGGTAAGATGCAGGGTGGGGGAACAACCCAACACTAGGAAGTTTTACCAGCTGTTGTACTTTCAAAATTTTCTCTTTAACCCTGCTGTGAACTGCAGCTAATTTGTTTTAAATTCTCATTGGCATTGTGCAGTAACTAGAAGGCACAGCTCTGTAGAATGCGATTTTCAGTAAGAGGGGAGGAGTTCCACCTGAGACTGACCTAAACTTCCAGGTTGTCTGCAGGCTGGAGATAACCATGCTCCAGGGAAGGGGGTTGTGGTGGTGAATGCAAGGGGGTACCTGGGGCTCTAGGGCACCAGTAACTTGAGACTCTGCTGCAAGGAACTGGAGGTTTGATTACAGAAGGAAATTAAACTGTGTGGAAGATGAAGAATATTGCTAAGCTGCTGAAGGCAACGCACACAAATTACGAGCAAATTATAATTGGTTTGTGCTGAGGGTTTTTTCTTTCTCTTGGCCAACAGGTGCTTCTCAGAGCTATTAAGAGATGTTGAGAAGGGAAGTTCCAATGAGGTGAGAGGAAAAAAGTTAGTATTCTGTGGGAAGGAGAGTACCTCTTAGTAAAGCAGTCTTGAATCAAGAGTTCTTTCAGCTGAGATAAAAGCTTAGACTGTTGCCTATGAAGATTATTAGCCCAGTTATCTTCCATTTCTGAAGCACAGTGCTCAGAGGAATTTGCTGCATCCTAACAAGGCAGACTTCTTCAAAGGGTGAAAAGGTGGGGGAGCCTTGCCGGCCGTGATCCTTTTCTAACTCTAGAATAAGTTACTTTTCTCCACAAAAGGCTTGTGGAAGTGTGACCTATTTTCCCTGCTTGGATTCTTAGCACTCTCACTGCTGCAGAAATTTTCTAGAAGTTCCCTGAGCAGATTTTGCTGCTGGAGATAGAGCTGGACACCTGCTTCCCTTGGGGAATAGCGAAGGGTACTGGGAAATAATGAGGTGCAATCATTTCCAGTTGGCATACTTAAGA